GGCTTCACAGCATTCATCATCAGGTCTAAAAAAAAAGGTCTTATTTTAAATAACTATATCATTACTAATAAATTAGCAAGAGACACACCATTTAGGGAATGACTTCCTTATAGCAGTGCAAAAGCTGGCAAATACCATGAAGAAGAAATCAAGGATCTCATGAGGTCAGATAAGATACTCACTTGTCAATAAAGATCTCCCAAAAGAAAGTCAGGCACTCTGGAAACCTTAACTTTCTCCTGCAAAAGCTCAGTTTGGAGTTGGCTGTATGATCATACCACAAATCATCTGTAGGAAACCAATTGTCCTTCTCCATGCAAATATCACAGCAGCAACCAGCTATTTTCACTAGTTATATACCATGGAAAAATTAATGGAGAAAAATAGAATCCTAGGTATGTATCTGACACCAGGGAGCAGGGATTTATTACTTTGCATAAAAATATGAGTCAAACCCCTAAATAATGTATACAACCTCAATGTTTATTTGTACTCTTCCTTTAATATCCACATAGAGTCAATATACTCAATAAGGCTCTTCACTGTAAGGCTTAGAGAGGTAGCTATGTTAATCTGTATCTGCAAAAACAATGAGGAGTCCTATGGCACTCTGGAGACTAACAGATTTATTAGGGCATAAGCTTTCATGGGTAAAACTCACTTCATCAGATGAATTGGAGTGAAAGTTACAGAAGCAGGAGTATATAAGGGAGAAATTGCTTGTGTTAACAGTGGGTCATCCACAGCATCTGGTATGGAGATGTAAATTTCCAGAGAAGAGAAGTTGCCTTTGTAATGTGTTAACCATTTGAGATCCTTATTCAATCCTAAATTGTCTTGAATTTGCAAATGAATTCCAGTTCAGCTGTCTTTTTACCAAGCACTGTCTCTCCATTTTGCATCCCATGTTGAGGACTACATACATAGTCCTCAACAAATAATAATAGTTACCCTCCCCTTAAAAAGGAAGGTTCAGCAAACTGGCAAGCACCCCATTATCAAAGGACAAATGTTGGGGGAAGGGCTCGCCTCTATATATCTGAAGGAGGTTAAAACCTTCTCCTATTAAGCAAGACACTAAAAATGCCAACCAGCAGAAACCACTAGTTGTAAGGCCCTACCTGGAATGTATCAAATTATGTATTTTTAATACAACAAAAGCATCATGGTATCAATACCTACATACAAGAATGTTACTCTTTTCAGATGACCCTTTAATACCTCAAACAACATTAAGAAGGAGACCCAGCGGAACAGTCATAAAAGCACCTTGCTGATCAGATCTTACTCAATAGGTAAGTGGCATTTCATGTACTGTGTATTGGGTAATAACATCAGAGAACTGCATGCTTACAAATATAAAAAGGCACTTCATTAAGAAAAGTGTTTAGCATTCAACATATGTACATAGTCTAACTTCCTGTGTCTTCTCCAAACTCTTCCCTCGTGCAATCTTCCTCTGTATTCCATGGACGTTGCTACATGCGTGATTCTATTACAGTAGCAAATGATTTGGCAAGGAAAAGGAAGTCCATTGTATTAAGTGCTGTACGTACACAGGTCAAAGGAAGAAGGGTAACAAAGGTACAGGGAAATTAAGTGATTAGCCCAAAATTACGCAAGTTGTCTATAATAAAGCTGAGAACTGAATCCAAATTTCTTGGATCCCAGCCCAGTTTTCTTAACCATAAAATACTACTTTTAAATCCTCCCATTGCAAAATTCAGAATGGATAATCTGAACATTTCTTTTTATTTTTGGATTTTTTTTTTTTTTTTACCAAAAGGTATCCAAAGTACCATACTATTCTAATTATCTCTATTTTAGATTTCTGACGAGCATAAAAAGGTGTTTCATGTCACTAGCAGTTTCTGCAGATCTTCATTTTGCTATGATAAACTTAAGTGACAATATACTATACCAGTTCCTTTTTTCTTTCTACTTACTACCTATGATTTCACATGCAAAATAACAAAACTAAATTCTTACATCAGAGTTTTGTGTATCCGTTCTATTGCATCTTCCAGTTCTTCCTTCTGGTCTGGAACAAATCGGTATTCTGAAACATAACCTGCAGTGTGCTTATATGGATCATAGTCTCCCAGCTCAGCTATTACACGAAAGAAAAACAATTGTCAGAAGTTTCAAACATTTTCACTTTACTCAAAAGAGATACTGTCTTACCCGCTTGCATATGTGTCTGCACCTTTTCTCAACGATGAGCTCAGCACTCAATATGTAAAAGAGAACTACTTTTTCTTATTGGAAAGGAAAAATCCATGACAATGTTTGACCTTGATTTTAGTTTATGAAAAAAGCAACATAGACAAATTCATGCAACACTAGAGGAGCATTTTCCTTAGTAACATGCTGTTTTAAGACGAATGGAAGGTTCAAAAGCTAAGCAATATATGAAGTTAATCATCTCTGCAGAACTGAAATTAATTTAGTTTATGATGCATCTGAAATGAAAAGGTGTGCTGAGACCAGTTCTTAGAAGATGTGTAACCATATAATAAAAACAAACATTAAAATGAGCATTAACTGGCACCCTTATTGAGAATCATAGCAGAGAAGTCAAGGACTCAATGAGAATGGAGATGTAATTATCCTGTCAAGGTTAGAGGCAGTCCTTTCAGAAAAAAGCTGGAATACCTCTGGGTAAATAGAAGATTTCCATTTCCAGTTAATTTCAAAACACTTCTTGAACACTAAATTCACTTTAAAAATCAATATAATTTATTTAAAAGAAGTGTGGGGACTTTATTTTAAAATTTAAATGATTATGCGTCGTAACGTAATTGTTTTGGAGTCCTCAGGAATTTGCACATACAAGCAAAAGTGGCAAGACGAGACAAATTATTTGTCTGATGAGCCAAAATCATATTTTTATTCTGGCAAACAGCTGTATATCAAGTGCATATTTTAATCAGGCCTCAATTGTACAATTCTAATTTACACTGCATAACATTTAGGGTATGTCTACACTACAGCGCTAATTCGAACTAACTTAGTTCGAATTAGTTAATTCGAACTAAGCTAATTCGAACTAACGCATCCAGACTAAAAAACATGTCCACATTAAGTGGACCCTGAACCAGGGTTAAGGATGGCCGGAAGCAGTGCCGGCAGGAAACCAAATGAGGACTTAGAGCATGGAGCTGCTGCCTCAGGCTAGCCAAGGGCTGTGCTTAAAGGGACCCGACCCCACCCCGGACAGACAGTTCTCAGGGGTGCCCTGCTTGCAAAGCAGTCCTGGCTTGGAGTGCCCACACTGGGAACATCACACCACTCGGCCATCAGACCGGCTGCACTTGCCGCAGGCTGCCATCTGGGGAGAGGGGGCAATTGGGGGGCTGCAGGAGAGCTTCCACCCCCAGAAGCCCGCAGAGCCAGCCCAGTCCTCCCCATCGGGAGCTCGTACCCCATTCCTCCCTCACTTCCTTCCACTTACCCTTCCCTAGCCCCCCTTCCTGATGTACAAAATAAAGAAACCGTGTGGTCAAAAACAGAATCTCTCTTTATTGAACAAAACTCGGGGAGACTGGGAAAAGGAGGTGGGAGAGGGGAAGAGAAAGGCTGGGAGAGGGGAGGGCAACTAAAATGATCAGAGGTTTGGAACAGGTCCCATATGAAGAGAGGCTAATGAGACTGGGACTTTTCAGTTTAGAAAAGAGGAGACTGAGGGGGGATAGGATAGAAGTCTATAAAAGCATGAGTGGGGTGGAGAGGGTGCATCAAGAAAAGTTCTTCATTAGTTCCCATAATAGAAGGACTAGAGGACACCAAAGGAAAGGAATGGGTAGCAGGCTTCAAACTAATAACAGAAAGTTGTTCTTCACAAAGCAAAGAGTCAACCTGTGGAACTCCTTGCTGCAGGAGGCTGTGAAGGCTACAACTAGAACAGAGTTTAAA